GGGTTTAGACCCAATCCACAAACCCACAACGCATAATTTTGAATTAGTGGGGGATTGTTGAAAGGTTAGGGCATAAACTACAGATCCGGAGAAGGGAGAGAAAGTGTAGAGAGTTTTAATGGTGGACCTTTGGGGATGTAGACGTTGCGGTAGAGGTGGTAGATGTAGAAGGACCAGAGGAAGCCGGAGAGGAAGTAGAGGATGGTGCCGGCGATGTAGTTACGGAGCCAGGTCTGGAGGAAGTGAGGGAGTGGAGCCCACCAGGTGGCGGGAAGCAGATTCGACAGCACAATGCTGTTGAACATTGACGTATCCTCCACGAATTGCTGGAGATAGTCGATGCTCCCCGCCGTCGCCATCAGCGGCAAGTGCCGGTTCTCGTGGAAAGGGATAATTGAGGTTAAAAGAGAGGGAGAGGAGGTTTAGGGGTTGTTTGAAGAGCGGGAGAATTGGAGCGGAGCCAGCTGTGGAAAGACAGAGAGAGTGGAGGTGTGAGCGGAAGAAGAGTGAATGGGGAACTATATATAGTGGAGAAGCGGTAACTGGCGGTGAGCACGGTGGTGAATGGTTTTTGTGGTGGGTGAGGGAAGAGAGAGAGACGTGAAGTGGGCGAGTGTTTGGGCAGGGGTGTGCAACGATTCGGTTTGGTTCGGTCCGGATCGGATCAAACTCACGAGAATCGCGGTTTATTAGTAAAAAATATTTTAAAACTAAAGACCAGATTATTATTCAGTCCATTTGGTCCAGTTCAAAAATCAATTTGGTACATTTTATCTTCGATAATTATAAAATTCATAAGACTAAGGACCAGACTGCATTATACTCGATACGGACCGGATCATTGCACACCCCTATGTGTGGGTTCTGCTCATAGTTGTCATGCCGGCTTTATGATCGGTACTGTTTGAACGTGAAGTGGGCGAGTGTTTGGGTTCTGGTCATGATTGTGAGTTTGTGACGCTGGTCGAATGCCGGTCGGCTGAACCTGATTCAACTACTAATAGCTAGTAATGAAACCGACATTGAAACTATCGATATGAAAGATTTACAACTCTAAGCAAAATAAAGTCATTTTAATGAATTTAATTAATAAAAATAGTTCATTATTTATTTAATGAGTTTAATAGTTAAATCTTGATATTGTTTGTTGGATTCAATTATGAACATGTATTTAAATATAAATTTATTTGATATGAGGTATTTTATTTAAATATGAAATGTTGTATAAGGTTGTCAACCCGCGGGTTGACCCACGGGTCGACCCAATTTGACCCTGACCCGGTGAGAAAAACGGGCCGCACGCACCCGCCGGGCCGACCGCTATTAGGTACTGGGTTGGAGGTCAAATTGTGTCATTTTTTTCTTTAGTTTGCGAAATGCGCCTATTTTCCAATTTTTCTTTTCGCCTAACTCAATCTTTGGAATACTAAGTTGAACATTTGAATATTTGTGTTATATAAGTGTGTGTGAATTTTCACTATATGTTGGATCTAAGTACGATATGTTATTTTTGTGTAATATTATATGTAATAACTCATATGTTAGATATGATTTGATATAATTTATGAGGATAAATACAATATAATGACTCTTTCTATATTTCCGGGCCAAACCGGGCTAAAACGGTTGATCCATTAACCTTTGACCCACTAGCTCGACCGGGTCCGGGTCAACCCGCGGGTTCACAACCTACTTGTATTTGATAATTTGGTTCTGGCAGCCGCTTTAGCTAGGAGTTGCAGTGTCCGTGTGCTTTCGCCCTTTCTTTTTTTTTTTGTATTTTGTGATGTGTTATGTTATATCATCATATTTGGGAAAAACAAGCATTGGCATCTTTTTGTCTGATGACAAGGAGGAAACGTGAAAGAAGCCAATCGAAGTTTGTCTCCAGCTAATTACCGGGGTGGTTTGGTTTGGTATATGCTTTTACCAAAATAACTTATTAGCATGTATTTGTACACAAAGTTCCAAACTTTCAATCGACAAGAGAGCGAATCAGTTCGATTCCTATCCCACAACAACTAAAGCAAGATGTAAGATGCTGGGGAAAGGAGAAAACGGGACAATACACGATGAAATTAGGGTGCTTTGAATGGAAAGAGAAGGTAAGAAGAGGAAACCTCATAAATTGTGGACGGGCACCTCAAATTACTGGTAAACGGTTATTCCGTTAATGATAAACGGTCGATTCCCGCTAGTCAAATTTAGATAATAACTAACAGATGGTTAAACGGTTATCCGACTAACTGATTATGATCATCCTCATAGATAAAGTAAAAAATAATAGAACTCCATGAGTTGCAAACATAGGCCAGAAAAATAATGGAGTGTTTGAAGACTTACAAGACCCCTTGCCTATTCTAGTTATAATAGTGACTTAGATTCAAATGAGAATAATTTAAAGGGTCGTTTGGATTAGGAAATATGAGCAGGGAATTTGCCACAATCCCTTCTCATCAAAGATTTCACCACAATTCTTTGTTTGGATAGCTATAATAAAATGAGAGATTTAAGTGATTAGGAATTTTGAAATTCCTAGTGTTAGAGAATTTGAAATGGCTTATTGACCCCAAATATTTTAAAAGCTCTCCTTATCTTGTTGCAACCTTCAAAAAAATACCTCCGACTTATTTTTATTTCGTTATTCTTCTTCTGCCTAAACCAGTAAGCCACGTTTCTCCTTTCGATAAGCGATCTGTAACGGCGGTGGTCTCTCCTCCGGCAACGCTGGACACCAGTGAGGATGAGGGATGTCGACGGCGCCCTCCTTCTCGATCGGACGACAATGAAGAGGAATTTCGCACTTACAGAACCGGATGACGAGCTCTTCTCGAACTGAGACATTCTGTTGGCTTCGAACACACCAAGAATCCGACGACGTCTTCTTTTTTGCCTTCCATCCAGCTTTATAAGGGGAGAATCATACATGCAAAGAATGTCTATGCAAATTGTTTGAAAAAATTACTGACGAAGAATTATGCTCAATCCTAATAGCCTTATGGTACACTTGAAAGGAAAAGAAACAATACAAGATGATAAATTTCACCCTTATAAAAAAGGCTGACGAGATGGACTTGTTAACGAGCTAATAAAACGAAGGTGGTACTATGTTGGCAAAGAGGGGGCTCTCTCATATAATCAATGTGGTAGTAGTCTCAAGACAACAAGAGCAAAACAAGGGTGGTACCAGGTTAGCATGGAGGGGGATCTCTCATATAATCAATGTGGTAGCAATCTTAAGAAGATAAAATAAGCTCTCCTCTCTCTTAACCCCCTTCATGCCAACCTGGTACCACCCTCATCTTGCTACGACTTGCTAGCAAGTACCCTCGTCTTGCTACGACTTTAAGCTCTCCTCTCTCTCTCAACCCCCTCCATGCAAGACTTGGCAAGACGAGGGTGGTACCAGGTTGGCATGAAGGGGGCTCTCTCATATAATCAATGTGGTAGCAGTGTCAAGAAAAAAAGAGCAAGACGAGAGCAACAAAAGCAAAGTATGTGTTGAGTCATTAGGGCTATCAAGGGTGTCATCGAGACTTCATCATGGAGACTAAGGCAAAGAGATTCAACATCATCTGGTCAGGACAAGGCGACAAGAACCAACACTAACCCTGCCTAACGTCAAGACAATCAAGTACCAACTAGTCACCAAGATAGGACAAGAGTCCTCAAGGCAATGGGAGTGAACACCAAGATGATGATTATCAAGTATTTATCAAAGCGACGATGAGGACCCCGAGGCGGTTGGAGCAACCGGTCAGCTGGCGATTACCAGGACAGTTACACCAGATGACTATAAATAGGAAAAACAAAGATTGTAAAAGGGTTACACAACCAAACTCTTAACACCCTATGTCAAAATTTATCATTTTCTCTCTAATGTAGACATAGTTGTAGCTTTATTTACTAGAGCTCTCACTCACCCTCCATAGGAGTTGGAGTAATTTAACCTAGCTTTTCAGCCATAAAAAAACATCAAACACCCTTGTTCGAACATTGTTTGGAAGAGCACTTCTACTATGCTATATAGCATTGATGCTTTAATGTACAACTCAAAGTTGTACCATAACATTAAATGTATAAGTTTAGGTTGTATCATAAAACAATTTGTACCATTATGTTATGGTACAACTTTACAACTTGAAGTTTAAAGTTGTACCATCATATAAAGGTACAAGTTCAAGTTGTACCATAAAAGAATTTGTACAAAAAGTATAGGTACAATTTGAAGTTGTATCATAACATAAATGTACAATTTTAAGTTGTACCATAAAGGCAAAAACCTATAGCACCAATACTATATAACATTGTAAAATTTCTCTGTTTGGAGATGTGTGAACCATGATATTGATCGTTGTTCTAAAAATAAAATGTGCAATTCATTAATATCAAGCACTAGAGATTCTCGCTGGAAAACATAAATTGAAATATGACAAATGATAGTAAATAGCAAATTCCTTAATATAAGACTCTAAGAGGATGTGCACATGTAACTTGATGATTTTATCGCTCCATAAAGCCAGAGTAAGTAGGTGTGGATATTGGTGCGGCCAAACTACACCGAATAACTTTTGCGATCAAGCCAAACCGCAGCATAAAACTTACAGTCTAACATGTGATCTAAATTTTTAGCGGCTTGCGATTTGCGATCGGTTAATCCAAAACCGCATATAATTTTTGGATGCAGCGCCACCCTAGGAAGACAATTTATTTATATTGTAAATTTGTAATCAATACAATGGATGCACAACACACTCCTTTGGTTTAGCTTTAGCATGATACTAAAAAAAAACACGGATGCTTTGTACGGTTTAGTTTTTCCCTTTTTATTCCCATAATTTTAATTAATAAAATATATCACTATAGCGAAAAATAGGATTTTTAAAGTTAAACATTAAAAAAAAAACTACGCTACATCATAAATGTACTGCAGTTGTTTCGTTTTCAACCATGACTAAATAGGATCTTAAATATTCGTTTTTTTTGTTAGAATTACATATTATTAGTATAGAAAGTAAATTCAATTTGTCAATTCAATTATGCATAATACATATTATATTGCGATCGAATATGCGACGAGGCTGTTCAAATAAGGTGTGAAAATTCATCTACGGGTTGAAAACTCTTTATGCAACTAGCACCGGGCCCGGCCCCTTGGCCGGGAAAGTCTAGACAAAAAATATGTTCATATAACATGCTTACAATATAATAGGAAGATACGACATATCACTGAAAAAAGAAATATAATTGTTCAAAGAAGAAAAGAAAAACATACAAAATAATAGGTTTTCAATACTTAAAAATGGCAAATAGTTCAAGATTAGAGTTGTTTTTCCTAAAACATACATAATGAACCCTCAGAAGGAAAGAAAAAGATTGGTCTCTAACAGATTTTAGGAATGAGATCATTTGTAACCCTAATTAATGTCTAACAGATACACCCATATTATTCCTCTTCATAGAAAGTAGAATAAGGATCAGCTGGTTTGGAAGCATGCTAGTCGTAGTCCCCGAAGATGCCTAGAAAATAGTCCGGGTTCTCAAGAGAGCTTCAAACTTAAGGCTGAGTGCAACTAATTTTGAATTACATATGTTTGTCTTTGTCAGTGTTGCTGATACTTTCACTGACTACTTTGATTGGTAAGTTGACCATAAATAATAGGGATATACCTTATTTTGACCTTGAAGTTTGTCGTAAAGCCAAACTTGACATGAACTTGCAAATAAGACAGTTTTTCAAAATTTTGAAAGAAATGGACAAATTTGGACTGAAATTTATGTTGTTCGTTAATATTAAAAGTTAAAAATTTCTTCATCCATTCAACATACAATGCTCAGGTGGTTGCGATTGCGATGTGGCTTCCATGTCATAGGGATGATACCTTATTTTGGCATGAACTTGATGTAAAAGACAATTTTGGCTCGAATTTTCAAATAAGATAGGTTTGTTTGCACTTTGAAAGAAATGAACAAATTTGGTCCGAAATTTGGGTTGACCTTTAATATTGACAGTTGTGATAGAGAGGTTTCGGTTGCGATGTGGCTTCCAAGTCATTTATTTATAAAGTCTAAAAAAGTGAATTTTTCAGAAGAAAAAAAGACCACAAAATAGGACCCTTAGTATATCCTAATATTTTCATATTTACTTGCATAAATCATATTAAAAGGAAAAAGAAATTGATTCAGGCCCCCAAAAATCCCAAAGCACGAAGCTATCTCTCTTTGTACCCCTCTCATCAATATTAACGGCAACCTAAATTTTGGGTCAAAGTTATTCATTTCTTTGAAAATTCGTACAAAACTGTCTTATTTGAAAGTGTAGGGCAAAATAGCATATTATACCTATGACGTGAAAGTCACACCACAGTCACCTTAACATTGTATGTTGAGTCATAAAAAAAAGAAATGTTTGACCCTCAATATTAATAACCGACCAAATTTGTTAATTTCTTTCAAATTCGGACAAAACTATCTTATTTGAATGTTCATGCCAAAATTGTTATTTACATCAAAGTTCAACACAAAATAGGATATTATCCCTAAATAATATAGGAGTACTAAAAATATTGGACTAATGAAGTTCAAAATGTTTCAAACAACATACAACCCTGATAAAACTGCAGTCCAACCAACTAACATTTAGAACAAATGACTTTCCAGCAGGATAACACAACTATAAGTATGGGTGGTTCTATCATATTTTGATTAAGAAAATGACATAAGGAAATGATATATAGACCTTGAATGATATACTCTGAGTATGAAAATGATGTCTAGTGGCCGGAGCTAGGGACATGGTACTATACCTTAAGCCCTTACAGATTAAAATCTAGGTCTTAATTCTATGAAGCTCATATACTAAGATCAATTTTATTAGAAACAATAATCGAAGGTCGTGTTTCATCAAAATACATCAAAAAAATTATGTGCATAATCTTAGTGTTTAGGGCAAGGATTGAAAACCCTTAACGTACCGGGGGTTCGACTAAACCAGTAGGCACTATGTAGTGTTGTGAAACGACTGAATCACGGTTAACCACAGTTTTCGCATAAAATACCCTCCTGTCGACTTTTTCGGTACAACCTCTGATGAGGTTTTATAATCCTTGGTTTAGGATCTATGATTTAAATAGTTAAGACCTAGAGTTCACTCGTCAAGGGTTAGAATATAGTGTCTCGTCTCGAAATCAGGTTAATTCAAAGTCTAGATTGCCATTTCTTACCAAGGGTATGAGTTACCTTTTGATTTTACTCAAAATATGATAGAAAACACTACACACACGCATACTGGTATACTCCAAGAGTATAGTATACTCCACATGATCTAGACATTAGATGTACTTTGTTGAGCTCCAATCAATCTCAATGGTCAATTATAATTTTCCATTAAATTAAACTTTGGGTTTGAGTTTAGAGAATCGGGGCCTGGGGTTTATCCATTAGAGGTTAGGGTAGAGTATCATACCCCACACTCGGTTAAAAATCATGGTCTAGATAGAGATATCTCACGAAGAGTACCTGAAGTATAATATACTCCAGGAGTACACCAGTCTGACCCATATATATGTGGTTGTGTGTGCACATATATATTTAATATTGTAATTTGATATGCAATATTCGAATAAATGATATTTGGATTGCGGTTTTAAGATTATCCTCCATTTATAAGATAGACTACCATTATTATTGAAGTCAAAATAAAATAATAATAAATGATAATCAAAGATCCAACACTAAAAATGCTTAAGAAAGACTTAGTGGGGTAGCTAACTGTGCTGGAAAAGTCATTTGATTTTCAGAATTTTGCCTCTTGTATGTTTTTTTTAGGGTTAATACCCTAGTTTGGCCCGAAGTTTAGCGTTAGTGACAGTTCTGGCCCAATTTTTCAAATAAGACATTTATGGCCTACTTTTGAAACTAATGGACAAATTTAGCCCAAAATTTTCTTTGACCGTTTATTGACTGTCAAACACTATTCTGTTAGTGACTCAGCAAAAAAACCACTGATGTGGCATGCCACGTCATTAAATAAATTATTTTAATTTTGTAATTCAATTAAAATAAATACAAATTAAGAAAATCACCTCTTATTAACCCCAATTCCAAATGCTAAATTAAATCAACATCATCATAAAAAACCCACAAAATCCCCAAAAAAATTCCCAAAGCCTCCTCCTTCGACGACCACCACTATGCTGCCTCTCTTGTTCCTTCCCCAAACCCACAACTACTACAATTTCTTTTCTTATTCCACCGATTCCTCCTCCCCTTTAAGAGAGAAGCCATCCAAAAATCGAAGACATTTATTCCCTTCCACCGATTCCCATAAGCGAGCTCTTTTCACCTGGCCGCCGACCTCGTCCATCGAGCATTGAGGAATCGGCTTGTTGTGGTCGCAAGCTCTTTTCACCTGCCGCCGACCCTGCACCCAGCTTGAAGATTCGACTTCTGGGCTTGATTTTTTAGCTAATCGGGTGGCGTCGCGGTGGGATTTCCCCGGCAAGGAAGGGGAGAAGTGAATGATTGGCCCCATCCCCATTCGTAGATGTCGGTGACGAGATTGTAGAAAGTGTCGACGACGGCGGGGACTTTCTCGGCAGTTTCGATCTGTGAAGGGGTAAGGAAGAAGGACCAGTACTCGCCGCCTGCCATCGATCGCCACGAAAAGGCGTCGGTTGCGTGCTTAACTCCGATGTGGGTCGAATTTGATTTTAGAGGAGGTCGGGGACGGGAACGGCTGGGGTTCTCGCACGAGGAAGAAAGACGATGGAAGGGGATAAGGAAAGGGAAAGGTCTGTGTTGGTGGTGGTCCTCATGTCTCCTCTCCCCTTCTCCTTTTTTTTTTAAAATTAGTAATGACATGGACAAGGCCAGTCAGCATCGAATGCTGAGTCAGCGACGGAGAAAACGGTTGACCGTCAATTCTGACAGTCAACCCGTCCCATAGGCCAAATTTGTCCATTAGTTTCAAAAGTAGGCCATAAATGTCTTATTTGAAAAATTGGGCCAGAACTGTCACTAACGCTAAACTTCGGGCCAAACTAGGGTATTAACCCTTTTTTTTATAAATAAATGCAACAAATTTGTTTAGTCTTATTGGTTATGACTCTTGTCCTTGTTAGAAGGGACCCGGGTTCAAATCTTGACACTGATATTTTTTTCAAATAAAAAAATAAACAATTGCAATGACGAAAGTACCCTTCCTACTTTCGCTCTCGTTGCAGAAAATTTGAAATGGAAGAAAGTTGAGTCATGAATCTCCATCATATATCTTATAGATGACTGGATAAAAATTAATCAAGAGACTTCTACTTTACTTATTCCATACTTCAGTAGCAGATTTATTAAATATAGAAGTTCAATAGCTGATTTGCTGGTTACCCCAAAGTTCAGTGACCATTTCTGTAATGGACCTTATCTATCTTTGTCTTCTGGCAGAAATCAGAATCGGCAGCCGCATTTCAGTCCGTTTCTGGGATTTCAATTTCAGTCACAGACACATCGTCGGAGATCTCACCGTCCCGTTTGCCTCCCGACTCTTCGATTACTCGTCTCGTCTCATCCCATCCATAATCAGGTAATCGAAATTCTCTCCGACTCCATTCTTTCCTGGATTCTTTACTTTGGGGGGTTCAATTCTATCACATGGGTTCTTCCCACAACGCGGATAATCTTTTCTTTTTCGTAATCTTCTCATTCTTCTTCACATCCCCAATGATGGAATCCATACTTTCCCCCGGAATTGAAACCTTCGGCCAAATTATTATGCCGCCAGGTGCTACTGGTGAAACCGATAAGGGTCTTGCTCATGCTCCGAACTGGTCTTCCTGGTTGGCCAATTATAATGATCATGACGGGAATCCTTACTTTGATGAATTTCATGGGTGTGTGGGTAATAACGGCGATTGTTGACTGTTAATGCTTTGGTCAGTTACTCGGATTTGAATTTCGGAGGAAGCACATGGCAACCGTCTCATTTTGTTGGCCTTCTTGGTTGAGTCTGTAGTTTGAACTTGGAGGAAACAGTTTGGCAGTGCTTGGTGTTTATGGGGATATATTTCTGATAATTTCTTGCTGTGGTTCTTGGAGTGTTGGGATTGGCGATCGATAAGAAAGCTACAAGAGGATCACAATGGCTGAATTGTTTGCTGTTCGGTTGAGAAGTTTTTTGCTTCTATTTGTTCGATAGTTGGATTCATCTTTTCTTATTGTTATACCCATCATCAATGAAGTGTTACTCACGAAGGCAACCAATTCTTTGTGGCAGCTACTCTCCTTTTTGGTGGTCTGAGAGAGAATAAATGTCAGACATGGAGGATGTTAAACATCAAGATGGAAATGTGACAGAGGATAATAACTCTGCCCCGCCTTCTAAAGAGGAGGTTTTGCTCCTCTACTGCTCTGCGTACTCCTCAGACTTAGAGGCTAAGCAATTAGAATTACAGTTTGGTTTTGACTAGTTTCTCCAGCTGCATCATTGAATGCAAATTCTTTTTTTCTATTGCCCTTTTTCAGGAAGAAGCTATGAAGAAAAAGTATGGTGGCATCTTGCCTAAGAAACCACCACTCATTTCGAAGGTGACACCTTTGTGCCAAATTCATTATGTATCCTTTTTCTTTTGTTTGTGTTATTCAGAAGTCCCATCTATGTCATTCCTCATCCAATTGCTTGAACTTTCCATGTCAGGATCATGAACGTGCATACTTTGATTCAGCTGATTGGGCACTTGGAAAGGTTTTCAATTAGTTTATATGTAGTTATCTTCTTGTGACTAATAATGGAAGTGTATTTTCGTTGGAGCTACTGACATGATGCTACATCATGAATGATAACAGCAAGGTGTTGAGAAGCCCAAAGGACCACTTGAGGCTCTTCGGCCTAAGTTACAGGTACAAATCAGTACTTGACTATTTGCTCCTTCCTCTCTACTTGTTGATGCTTTTCAGTATTTCTTAATTCAGCCGGTAACCTTTCTCTGTGCACACTTACTCGATTGTGGTGAGACTGCTTGAAATGCTTTACTCTTAGTTTCGGATACTTTGGAATTTAGACATACATTCGAGGGTTGAGCTAAGAATTTGCTTACTAATGATGGATGTATTATGGGTTCAAACTTTTGTGTAAATTTATGAAAGTTCAAGCGATCTCCAAAAAAGTTTGCTCAGATACATAGCCGTATGTTGTTTCAAACAAGACGCCTAAGAGACACTAGGATCAGTAGAAGGTACAATCCCGACAGTTAGCCATATTTTAATCCATGGCGGGTATTTCTTGGTACGGTTTCCATGAATAAACCATACATGCTACGCATGAAAATTGATCCCTGAAAGCCTTATAAGCCAGTTGAAAGGAATGTAGGAAAAGATTAGAAGCCTACAGCCCAATGCCTGAGCCACAAATTGAAAATGATCTATGTGTGACTTCTTTTCCCAAAAAATTGAAAAAAACTATGTGTGATTAGTTGCATCCTGCTCCAAAATTTAGTCTTGTGACAATAGATTCTGATGCTTCCTTCATTTTCCTTTCAAATTGTGGCAATATCTTCGAAGAAAGCCGTACATGATTTGAAGACGATTGAGTGTGAGATGTGTGTAGACTATAGATTAGAAGTGCTCATTTCATGTGTTATGTCTACCTGCCATAGAATTCAAATTGTGGCAATATCTTCGAAGAAAGCCGTACATGATTTGAAGACGATTGAGTGTGAGAGGTGTGTAGACTATAGATTAGAAGTGCTCATTTCATGTGTTATGTCTACCTGACATAGAATTCATGTCCGCTGTTACTATTTTCATGAATCCTGGATTGAGGAATTCATGTGGGACTGTATAGTTGTCGTAATTCAGTTCCACAATTGATATTCAATTGAAACTCATTGTATGGTATGATTGAAAAATATACTTGTACGCCTGATGACGTATTATGTTTTCTTTTTGGAAATCTGTCGTGGTCGCAGCCCACACAACAGCAAACACGATATCGGAAGTCTCCATATGCACCAGCGGGTGGTGAAGGTACATTTCCTACCAGCAAAGTGCAGCATCAGTTCATAGAAAGTAAAACCTTCTGTGGCTTCGAAACGATGACTTATCAATGTGTTTGTCTGTTCTCAATTAGGAGGTGCTACATCTGAGGATGCAGCTTCAAACGAATGAAATGGAAAGCCTGCTATTGATGGCCCTGATATGGTGAGAAAGACTCCTGATTGTCATTCTGGCTGCATGCCTCCTTGCTTAGGTGAATGAGGAAAGTGTCTGATGCTGTCGAGAATAAATTTGGTTTCATGTTGCTGAATTACTTATGGAAAGACCTAAAAATGGCTTTACATTTCTATTAAGTCACCAAAGGCTCTTTTCTGTGTCGGTGTACCTCTTTACATGCTCTACTATATTTCGGCCACCCTTTTCTTTTGAAGCAATATTGCAGTGTAGAAAGGTTGAATTGCTGGATCTGATATCTCTAAACAACTTGGGACTGAGCTTTAGGAGGTCAAACTGTTTCATAAAGCATAGATGAGATGGAATCACAGGGTGTTTGAATAGAAGAATAATTTTGGTAACCAAAATGGCTTGGGTGATACTTTGAAGTGGTGAAGAGTAGGGGTGATATAATTATCAAATTAAATAAGTCTAAATTCTATTAATTATGAATATATTATTATAACTAAATTTACCAAACTAATATAATAACTAAATTAACCAAATTAATATTGAACTGTTTTGATTAATTGACTAATCAAGTTAACCAATATAACATAACATTATTATTATTATGAGAGAGAAAAAATCACATGCTAATGTATCAATCTGTAATTTATATAATGAACAAAACATGACAATTAACACAAGTTAATCTTTGAAATAAATAAATGCAACTAATACAATTATTCAACGAAAAAAAGAAGTAGCCTACTAACAAAAATATATATACCAATGGCATGAGGTTACTGAATTGGCAATCCAATATCGCGTCAGTGTCAGGCTAGAAACTTGATAGACGAGAATTCTGAGAGTTACAATCCAGCACACTAATACCAGTTTTGTGTGATAAATCCCAATCGATCAAACTCTTAGCATAACTATTATGGACGATGAAGGGAGTCAGATCTTGGTGAAAGAGCAGCGACGGTTGCCGGTAAGCCAAAATTCATCAGATACCAATTCATCGCCATGATTGCTTTCCCTCATTTGATATCTTTTCGATTCTTCATCGTTAATTGACTGGTATTAAAGATCAACCATCTAATGTTAATTTTCGAACCAATGTAGTTAAAAGCATGATTCTACATAAAAGTGTTTTGGTGATCTAAAAACATAAAAGGATAAGCTTTAAAATGCGATTTTGACTACATTAATTAGGAAAATCACAATTTTATATAAAAAACATTTTGATGATCTTGAAACGTAAAAAGCGTAAGTTCTAAAACTTTAAAGCACAATTTTGACTACATTAGTCTAACTTGTATTCCTTGTCAGTAGTGATTGTTATTTGTTTCTGATCTTATTGGAGTTGTTTTTGTCTCATCTCATGCGTTACCAAGTCAAACAAGTAAGGCAAATTATTTTTGTCTCTTCCTCCATGGAAGTTTCTCATCGATCCCTCGAGTTCATAAAACCATTATCTGATCCCTCAACATGGTGGTGTTTATATAATATTGGATTTGAAGTCCCTTAAATCTGGGTTGCTTAGGCTTGTTTCTTTCTTGGTAACCTTGTATTTGTTCTTGATTTTGTCATACATGTTGACTTTTACAAGTATGTATATTAATACTATTTTACATATAAGAAGATCAATCCAATTCTAAACGATCCTTCTTTTATGAAAGGTAAGGCCTTTTATTGTTTATTGTTCTTCAGATAGTTGTTTTGAATAATTTATGAAAATGCTGAGATTCTAAAATAACAATATGAAGAATCCAAGCACGATAAAATCGAACTTAGAATTGGCTTGTTAATGATTGGATCATGTAACGTCTTCATACTAAAATTTATCTACCCAAATGGTGAGATTATGTAACTTTTCACCCGATAGAATTCAAGCACCCATTTCAGTATCTTTTTGTAAATTGGTGCTAACACCTTTTCTTCACCACCATTACCACCTTTCATTAACCACCAAGCTTACTCTGTCTATCAGTATTTACCAACCTTCGCTAATCACTTAGGTAAGTACATATATAATTTATTCATCTCATCATATAGTAATATGTCCGTCAGTCTTTGGATCTTAAATAAAAAGTGATGCAAGATTGCACATGCAAGATATGGTCCTTTGTCAAAAAAAAAAAAAAATTGTCAAAAAAAAAAAGAAAGATATGGTCCTTTGTTTCACATGCAAGATTACAGAGCGCACACTTATCAGAGTCCCCAAATCCCCATTCAAATAGCTTGTTCATGGTTCATGATGATCATGATCAACCAAGTTAGGAATTGATATATCGACACTACCCACTTTTCTCACAACACCTTATACCATTTTACTTAGGGCTGACAATCGGTTTGGTTCAATTATAATCAGAATCATTTAGTTGGTCCTCAGTTAACCGTTAAGTACATTGTGCTTACCATTAGCCGCACTTTTTATATTAGTCGGTTAACCATAATCGTATACTCGGTTCTCGGTTAAAAAATGGTTAACCAAGTAACCGTTAAAAAAATGGTTCAGTAAGGTTAAACCAAAATAACTTATAAGTAATCTAACCAATAGAAGACCTCCTCCTTTTTTTAATTATGCATTTTGTAGATTTTTTTCTATATGTGTATGTGTTCTTTTTTTAAGTTGTTATCATTGGATAAAAATTAATTTAAGATATCAATCTATATTCAACTAAATCCAACACAAGTACATAATAAATTTTATCATGAAATTTGATTAAAAAACAAGTAGACAGAATAAGAGACCCAACAACAATTACTCAACTAATAAATCCCACCAAATTACATGTAATATTAAATGTTACTGATTGTTGTCGAGCTAATATTGTGCACAAGTCCAACTTTCTACGATGCTCCTTCTAAAGCCATTCTTTGACATTATTCTCATTTGAACCTAAGTCACTATTATAACTAGGGTAGACAAGGGATCTTGTAGGTCTTCAAACATCCCATTATTTTTGGTCTATGCATGAGGCTCATCGTGGCCTAATATTTTTCGGCTATAACTATGAGGATGACCATAATTCGTTATTCGGTTAACCGTCGGTTACTAATTAGCTAAATTTGACTATCAGGAACAAACCATTTACTGTTCATTGGGTTATCGGTCTAACCGTTAACTATCAATTTCGGTTCGGTTATCTGTTACACCGCTCACAAAATAACTGTTTACCAGCCCTAATTGTACATGTGGTTTATGAAACCTCAAAGATTCCCAGACTCTGCTTATATAAAACTTCTGCATAGGAAAACAGTAGTAAAGGCCAGATTTCGTCGCAAACGAGCTTTTGCTATGTCATGAAGCTGTCACGATCCGTTCCAAATACGAGCGTCACAATAAAAAAAATCTTCATAACGAGCTGTCTCAAATGCTATTTTCTGACGACTGCTAGTGATCTCTAATGCCTTTTTCAAAAGCTATTTTTCGTTACAAATTACAAAATTTATAACTGTTTTGTGTAAAATCGAGTAATGAGAGTAGACGATAAAACGAGACACCAGATTTACGTGGTTTCCCCGTTCAATATGAACGAGACTACTCCACGGAGAACGTGAGTTCTCAGGATTATTATTAGCCGCAGCTCTATAGTTCTTTCTGCTTACATCAACCGAAAACCCTACCCTCCTATTATACTCGACGTGAGACAATAGGGTTAGGGGGATAAAATGCAAAATGGTCCTTCAACAATAAACATATGTACAAACTGATTTCACACGTTTCTACACTCCCCCTCAAGTTGGAGCATGAAGATCCCGAACACCCAACTTGGACAACAGCGTGTGAAATTGTTCAGTTCCCAATGCCTTTGTAAAAATGTCTGCTTGCTGCGCCGCGGTCCCAATCTTCTTTGGTTCAATCTCCTTGGACGCAACCCGCTCACGGACGAAGTAACAGTCCATTTCTACATGCTTCGTTCTCTCATGGAAAACGGGATTAGCTGCTATGTGTAACGCAGCTTGATTATCGCAGTAAAGCGGCGTGGAACCCTGTTGCCGAACACCTAACTCTTTAAGAAGAAACCGCAGCCAAAGGACTTCACTAACAGTGCTTGCCATGGCTCGATATTCTGCTTCAGCAGAAGACCTCGACACAACCTTCTGCTTCTTTGTTCTCCATGACACGGGCGCTCCCCCCAACTGTATATAATATCCAGTAGTTGAGCGCCTGGTAGCTTGGCATCCTGCCCAATCTGCGTCGCAGTATGCCACCAGCTCCAAGTCTCCAGACTTAGGAAAAAACAGGCCTTGACCAGGTGACCTCTTCAAGTATCGTAAGACACGATTTGCTGCTGCTACATGTTCTGGACCTGGACGATGAACAAACTGTGACAATATATTAACTGAATAACAAATGTCAGGTCTCGTTACCGTCAAATATAGGAGCCGACCAACTAGGCGTCGGTATCCCTTGACGTCATCCGCGACTTCTTCACTCGGTCGGGTGAGGCTATGATTTTGTTCCATTGGGAAACTGCTCGGGCGTGCTCCTGTCACTCCAGCATCCCTTAGAATGTCTAAGGTATATTTTCTCTGGCTGAGCACAACTCCATCTGCAACTCTTGCCACTTCTATCCCCAGGAAATATTTCAAACTTCCCAAATCCTTGATGCTAAAACGCTGATCCAGAAAGTGCTTTACCTTGTCTATAAAAGTAGCGTTGTTCCCTGTAAGAATCACATCGTCAACATATATTAATGCTGCAACAAAATCTTCACCCTGCTTGTAGATTAGCAACGAATGGTCCGCACGAGATGGCTTGAAGCCTAGCTCAGAAAGTGAGGCAGTGAACTTCTGGTACCAGTTTCGTGAGGCTTGTTTTAATCCATAAATGGATTTCCTCAACCTGCACACTCTGTTGTCCCCTGCTTTAGCAAAACCTTGTGGAACCTGCATATACACCTCTTCTTCCAAATCACCGTGCAAGAAGGCGTTATTCACGTCTAGTTGGTGCAAATCCCAGCCTCGCTTAACCGCCACTGTCAGTAGTGCTCGCACAGTTACCACCTTGGCTACCGATGTGAAAGTATCATGAAAGTCAACTCCTTCAAGCTGCGTGAATCCTTTCGCTACCAGCCTTGCTTTGTACCTCTCTACAGTACCATCGGGCCTGTATTTTACCTTGAAAACCCACTTTGCACCTATTGCCTTCATGCCCTTTGGAAGTGACTCTAAAGTCCATGTCCCATTTGCTTCTAAGGCTCGTAGCTCTCGTAGCATGGCCTCTCTCCAGCAAGCATGCTTAACTGCTTCCTCAAAAGTCTTGGGCTCTTCAATTTTGGTGATTGCGGCCAGGTATGCCCGATGTTGAGGTGAGAAGTGCTCATAACTTACATGATTTGCCATGGGATATGAGGCTGCTGCATTTCCTCGAGGCTGTCCTACAAATTCAACATCATAAAT